GCCTGTGCTACTGTACCGTGAAAGTAGAAGTTGTTCAAGATAAACGGTTTCTAATTTATACATGGTGTTAGTTTCGCTAGCCTCCATGATTGATTTTCTCTCATTCAGTCAGTTGAACGTATCGCTACCGAGTCTGAAAGATTGACTTTTTGAAATGAGTACTGTGCTGAATCACAGGCATTGGGATGATATACAGGATGACAACACAACTGAATTTTCCCAGTCTGTCTGCAATGCCAGCAGTTTTTATCTAACCAACTGAACAGGCCACTGGCAGTACATTTCGAACAAATGAGAACGTATGTGTTCTACGTCATCAAAGGAAATTGTAAGAAGGATAGACTTTCTAACCGGCGTTGGTTGGTTTTCGTTCAGCTCGTCTAGCATGGTCACTTCTTCCATCATCACAGAGATAGAAGGCTGCGATGATCTTTTTGGTAGTACCACTTAGACGCTCCTGATGAATCACTGCATTTTCTTCCGTTTCTACTGGCGTACTAACTTCATTGCATTGCTGGTAGAAACGCGGTTATCATTGCGTATAACTGTCTATTTTACTGCTTTCGAATCGACCGAGTGCTAACTCTGGACAGACGGTTTTTCGAATTAGTTTTCTGTCTATTTTACGATGACTTATGAAATGAGACTGATCTCAATTTTGTTCGACGTGTTCTAATTTCTGTTCGATTTCTAAGTGTTTACAACATGGTGCTCTGCTCAGTTTTTACTGGTCGATTCTGAAGCACTACCTAGACACTGGAGATGTCATGATAATGGCGGACTCTTCCGATTTGCACTAGAGTTGTGAAATTATTGGACTTGGGCGCAGGGAGAGACCTTGAAACTTTTATACAGATCGAAAATGAAGCGAAGTAGTAATCTATCAGAAACACTGCTAAAGTTTCAGATGTTACCGAAACGATCATCGCCTCGTTCTCTGATGATGGAACAAATGACAGAATTCAGAGCCGCTGAAAAAATCGAGCGACATCAAGGTAAACTTCCTGAGCTGAGCACTGGCGGAATTCGGCATTAACAGCCCATGGCAATGTCAGCTTCGCACTTTAACTAAGCATAAACTTTTAGAATTTGAGGATCAACAGCTCTGATGAAGTTCGCCATTGTGGGATAACCAGGCAGAAATGCAGCAAGATGGGTTATGACATCAGTCAATCAGTCGGTCAGTCAGTCAGTCAATTTTGATGGCCACTTTTCAGTTCAGATTGCACAGGAGGCCTATTCATCATACAAGTGTCTGTCATTACGTAGGAATCCATGGTTTTGCCTGTTACAGATGTACGTTCTACTGCATCTTCACAGGTGATCAGCGAGAATTGGTGATGCCCCTGAAAGACTGCGTAAGTGCTATTAAGAAAGTTTTCAACATGAAATATGATGCGCCTATTTCGGTAGCTATGTTTTCAGACTTGACGATACATGCAGCTTGTGAACTGCATATAAGAGTGCTTTTGGTCCCTGGCAAAACGAACACTATGCACGTATTGGATGTTGCTAAACTTGAGCGTCTTTTAAATTCCTTTGTTCACCTTAACATAAGGGACATGATCAATTACATTGCTGATCACTCCTCGGCGTTACGTTGTGCTGATATTCTGACCATGTTGTACGAAGTTCTAGAAGCAGAATGAGAGACGGCACGTGCATTTGTGATTGGTGTAGCTGCTCCTTTGCGTTTTAGCATACGGGCAACAGGTCGTATGGTCATCAGTTTAGGCGGCATCTGTTATGATTGACCAGCTTGACTTCATCGTATTACGTCCTTGATATGACCTCGGTATATCGTCATTTTTGTTTTAACTCCTGTTTCGAAGTTTCTTCCACCAGTTAGCGCAGTTACTTCACTACAAACAATTTGTATGCTCAGTTTGCGAACAAGGCATAGTACTTGTGATTTTGTAATTGTGGCACGCGCTTGTCCTGAAATACGCCTCTGTATTTAGACCAGGTATGATAATGTATGCCTGAAAGTTTCAAATGGGCCAATTTATATTTGGTTGCAACTGTTGTTTTCTCATTGTCATCACGTGCTAGCAAAGTCTAAATGGCAGAGTAATCCAAACTTATGATGTCTCATCGTTACAAATGGTATCACGGATTGATTGATACTAGGCAACGTTCACTGTTATGGTATAGCTCGTATTCTTTGTTGCCAGCACTGTGTATGACGTTTCGGCGCAGACCGCTGGTTGTTGTCAGCGTTGCATCCTGCGGTCGTACCATCGAATCTGATGACTGGACATTTATCAGCTGCATCACTTGGGTGATTCGGTTATCGTGTTATATATTAGTGGGTAGCTGTCTCTGAGTGAAGTACGGCGCCGTTGTCAACATAGAAAATTTTATTAGAGTTTCATTACGACGACGGTGCGATGTCAGTACCACAGGGCGCAGTCTGCGGTCGCGAGTTTGAATTTATGTCTTTGGCAGGTGGTCATCTGTAGCAGTCGTTTGACTTCACCTATCTTGTTGCCAGTCAATGGGAAGTATGGAAAGGAATGCAATCTGGGAATATGATGCGATATCGTTGTGAAACTGTAAATGTCAATGATTTTCATTTTATTTTATGATTCCATCGTGGACACTGCGCGTGTTCGCTAAGCGAGCGCGCAGTCATTTGACTGGAAGTGGGAGTAATTGCACCCGATCATCTGTATAAATTATTTGAGTTAATCTCTCACGTAATATAATTTTGTATAGACTTTACCCGCTAATCTCTATATGTTAATGATAATTGGAACACTCTCTGTCGTCTCCCTTCTTGAACGGATGTATTGCAGCCCCGTTTTCCGGTCCACTGGCACCTTTCCCTTTGCTACTGCAGTTTCCCTGACACGTGTTGGCCTCAGCATACCTTGTTCGTTTAAAGCTTGGTGCATTTCACTTAAATTTCATGGATTACAGCACCGTTTCTACTTTTGAAACTCTGTGACTTCGCCTACTGAGACTAATATGCCTTGCCTCCTTCTCTTCATGCGGGTCTTCCTGCTATTGTTCAGTGTCTAGTTTCTCGAACTACTCTGTCTCGCCGATGTATGTACTCATCCTTTGTGCTTCTTTCCATCTCAGGCATCTGATAGTCTGTCTGTCTGAAATCCTCAATCGAAGATGTCAACTTTAAAGTCGATATTTATGCGCGATAGGTTTTATATTGTTCTCACAAAGAGCTTTCAAACGATGTTTAATGTGAAGGATTAAACCAGGTAATTTGTGCAGATGACCACATGCAATTATATAAACTCCAAATCCCAGTCAAATGACTGCTTGCTGATTTAGTGACTACGCGCAGTGTCCACGAATGAATTTTATAAAATAAAATGAAAATTTATCATTTATATTCATAGTCTGACAACGGTATCGCGTTGTACTCGCAGAGTTTTCGATTTATAGGCATTATGAGGGGCGAAGTCAAGTAATTGATACGGATGGCCATCTGCCAATTGCATAAAGTTAGGCTCGCGACTTCAGTGTGCACTAAAATACTGATATCGCACTGTCATCGCAGTGGAATTGTAGTAAGAAATTCACTACTTTGATAGCAGTATCGTACGTCTTTCACAGGAAGGTACTCACTGTTATATAGCGTGATGGATTGAATCTGGAAGTTGATGCACTTGACCGTTCTCTAGTTATACAGATTCACTGCGACGGTCGCAGGACCGAGCGTGGCAACAATCAGCTGTCTGCGTCAAAACGTCCCATTCCGTCGCCATCAGTTGTGCCTCAAAAAAACTATTTTCATATTTTGAGTCATGCACCAACGTGTCTATGGCAGTTTCGTGGTTTCCACGTAAGAAGTTTCGAAAAGCTCTTTTCTCATTTAGGTTCGTGGTATCAAACCAAACTTTTCTTTTCGGAACTTCCAAGTGGCCGCAGAAGGCATTGTTGGACAACACTGAATATGAAAACTGCTCTTGAGGTATAACTGCCCCTAACGAGGAACGTAACGTTTGCCGCGGCAGTGAATGTTGCCTGATATCTTTCTAAAGTACCATTTCTAAAAGTCAAACATCATAAATCTGGGCTACTCTTCTATTTGAGTTCTGCCAGCGTTTGATAACGGTGATACAACAACAAGAAGCTTTTGTGATTGCTCAGCGCATCGTTTCCTATAACCATCAGCCACGTGCAGCGGTTCGTCAGATTTGTTGTATAATAGAATAGAGGTAAACTTTTTTATTGCATCGCTGGTGTAAAGGTTCACTTAACCGTACAACATCTAACAGTCTCCTGTCACCGTTCTGTTTTCCAACTGCTGCTCTTCGGTGTCAAGCCATCATTGCCTATCATCACGGTTGCTGATATCGGTTGCTTTGACGAGAATGCGATATGCTCCTTTCTTCACAACGACAGGGTCATTCAAGGGCAGTTGCTTCGCCGCCGTGTTTGTCTGCCGACAAAGATATAAGGTTCGCGTCGTAACCCAGGGCTGCTTCATCTCTTTGTCGCTGATACCAGTGGGTTTGGTTACTGCAGCTGCAGTGCCTTTCTTCAGGCGGGCATGTAGCTGTTCTGCGTGTTAGCGGGTCGTAGAGATCGTAGCGGCCTGTTTGTTGTCGATCTCCATCTGGAACTCCTCTCAAATGACCTACTACATAAGTTATGCTTGCCAAGGTGGACGTTCCTCTTTCTGAGATGTTCTTGCAGCTATTGCCAAGCAAAAGTGGAGTTTCACGATCACTAGGAAACGATAGATATCCGCACGTATGTTTCGCCCGTATGTTGTGAATCGCACTTCCCCAATTGTCGCTGATCATCACGTGATCGATTTCGTTTCTGAAGTAACCTCCTGGTACCGTCTCTGTTCGTTGATGAATCCGACGATGAGGAAACAGCGTCCAGCGGATGACTAGGCGGTAGCCACTGTTTTGATCAACATGACCTTCGCTTTTATGGGCTTTGAGGTTACCAGTTTGTGTTTCACTGCGTCTTTATTATCTGGCTTTGATCAAGTATCTAAGCATTCAGTTGCAAATTTTAGCATGGATCACGAGTGGCGAATGACAGATCTTCATCTCTATCCAATGATCGACGTGCTTGGGCGATTGCTGGCCATGTTGGTTTGCGTTGATGAGGCTGTATCCGGTAATTCTTGCATCAGGAAACATTGGAGCTTTTATCTTCGGTAAGATCTTTGTACAGAGTTTTGTAGTAATTGAAACCCACATTGAACAAGTATGCAAGTTTTGGAATACAGTGACGTCACAGTCACTGACGATTGTCTGCATGTTGTCTGATCCACGTCGTTTTTCATAACTGTATGATTAAAACTGCAGAGATGTGCTGTATGATGATACGTGCTTAAGTTTCTGGTTTTCTCTGCTTGCTTCTGTGTACTAAGTGTATGATCTTGACTGATAGCTACTCTTTTCCTTAGTGTACTGTTGATTATGTTTTCAAAATCTTGTTCATACGTCGGTTTCGCATAATCAACTTCGCGGTTACATTAGTAGGTAGTATTTCTACTTCTGTCATGAACATTCACTGCGCAGTTTTCAGCGGTTGTTTGTTATGGCTGCGTCTGCGTATTTAAAAATGAAAGTCTTAAAAAATGTCCGTAAGACGCTAATGATTATGATGAGCAAACACGCGCTTTTTGATATTTCAATCTGAAAACAATCCTAATCTCTTGATAGGCGGCGAGCCTGCTGTGGTACCATTTCAACGTCTGTGAGCTTCTACCCTGGCATAAGCCATTCGATTGCAACCTTTCGACTACAACCGGGGGCACAATGTACTAGCACTTTGTGAAGCGACTTTGATGAGTCGTCTAGCGCATTTCTCACAAGCTGTTCGGGGGGAAGAGGTAGCAGACAAAGCGTTATGTGCAAAAACTGTGTCGATCCATTTGTAAGATGTGTCTGTTGTCTTGTCGGAAGCTATGCAATGGCATATCATAAAGAAGTTGCTGCTTTGCACTGCTTCACTGAAAGCAAGCTTAGCTTAAATCCGTGTAAGGTGCAGGCAAAGACTGCAGAAGTAGCAAAGCAGTTTCTTGGGTCCTGAACTATGTTAGTTACAGCGTAAATATTTGTTACGCCCTCGTTAAAATGGAATCAGATAAGTCATCAGTGAATGTTGGTAAATTACGATCCCGTTACCCACGACGCCAAATTGATAACTGTCTTAGTAGCGTTGTATGACCAGTAGCGCAAGGTGACACAGTCTTCTGCCTAAACGTGATCGAATGCTGCTTAAGTAATTAAACATATACTCTGTATATTTGTGTGAATGTGACTTACGAACACACGCGGTAGTAGGTCTATGTTTGTTCAATTTGGCTTGTTAAAGCTAGCCGTGTTAACTGCCAGTGATGCTTTTTGTCGTTAATGGCGGTTTTTCTGGTGTTCGTGACATGAGGACGATGGATAATTAGAGGCTGTTTCTTATGTTTGCATAATGATTTGTTCATTTTTCAATCGCCAGCAAAAGGGTGCTGAACATTGCCTGATTTTCGTCTACTAAGTGTTTCGTAGCTAAATTAAAATGGCTGTTTTTAGGTCTGTGCACTTGGTGCATCGAAATTCAGTGAAGTTTGGCATGTTTGATTCACCAATCGAAGCACTGGTGAATGTTCTGATGAAGGTTGACCTTCAGATAATGAGCGGCTACGTTCTACAGGTATGGTCATATGTGATTTAGGCTGGTGGACTTCATTTTTGAGACGTCCTGCTTCAGGTTTTTTAGGCAGATGAGATATTATTCCATGAGGTGTAACCCCTTTTATGTCACATCAGTCCGTGACGAGTTCAGTTCAATTCTTGACTTCCATTTGAATAGCTTGTCCTTCGCTAATGATTTACTCACTGATTAGTAAATAATTTTTGCAGTGAAAGTCTACAAAATCTGACTGTTGCATTGCATTATGCTTTATAAGAGTGTGATTGTCGAAAGCAGTCGTTTTTTTTATGGAGCAACACGTCCGTTAACTTAGCTTGACTTATATTTGTTAAAGTTAACACTGTTTCAGCATACTTTGCATATTTTACTAACTTCCGTATCTCTGTGGTATTTGACAATGATCTCATAATCTGGACATCGGGAATCAACCGGATTTCAGTTTTAGTTGTTTTCCCGGCGTATGCATAAGTTGTTTAATATCAGTCATTCCGCGACAATTAGTCTTCTTGAAGACTTTCATGGAGGCACCGCGATATAACTTGGCCTTGAACGTTAATCGTTTATTTTTGTAGGAAACGAATTTTTACCTATTCTTATTCTTACCTTAATTGAATGATTTAAGTTATGTTTATCTATTGCTTTTGCTCAGAACAGCTTTCCCATTTCATTCGGCAGTGACAACCCAACCTTCGGTGAAAACATGTTGAAAGAATTCGTTCATGCCGTCAAGTGGAGTAAAAAGAGGTTCGAACTCAGTGTCGGTAAAGGCTGATCCTAATTGGTAAACTCTAACAATCTCGTGAATTTCAGCCTGCGATGCCCCGTACCACGAACACCTCGTGGCCCTTTGCAGTCTCGCCTGTTTTCTACACAGTGTGTTTAACGCCGTTGACCAGAAGTGCTTGCGTGTCTTGATGGAATGCTGCAGAAAGGTTTGCCAGTCAGTTATCAGTTAGTTTCTCGTTACCCTCATAGTCCTTAAATCAGTCTCTGACCGTCTGTTTAGTCATTATCTCTCAATCGGTCTCCTTGTCATTGTCCTAGTCAGCTTGTATAAACCAGTTTGACAATAACGCAGGCGTTAATCAGTTCGTTAAGTCAGCCTGTGTGTTTGCCAGTCATCCCTTCATCATGTTCTCATTCGTTATCGCAAGCAGTCAGTTTCTTATTTGGTATGGCTCTTTGGCATTCAGTCAGTCTCTCAGTCTTTCTCATTACCTGTCTTTAAATCAGTCTCTGTCAGTCTCTAAATATGTCTGTCAGTCACTCTGTTTTTGAGTCAGTCACGTAATTACCTCGTTTGTTATAATATGTCTGTCAGTCAGTCAGATGATTTTTCAACATGTAAATCAACCAGGTTCTCAATCTGTCCCCCAGTCAGTTTTTTCAATCAGTCCTGCAGTAGTTCAGTCTCTGTGTGCTTGTCGGTCAATCTTTCAGTCTTTCTCGTTCTCATTTTCTAAATCACTCTTCACGCAGTCAATATCTAGCTCAATCAGACTGTTTGCCAAATAGTCATTCAAACAGTGAGTCAGTTCGGCAGTCATCATTTAATAACGTCAGGTTATTAGGCATCACAGTTAGTTCAGTACGAAAGTGAAGTTCTGAATTGTGTTAGTTGTTTTCACAATGTCTTCTTAAAAAGGCTGTCTCTAATGTTCAAGCATCACTGTATAGACATTAAGTCAACAGAATATGATGATTATGACCGCCTGTGAAAGGATGACACAATCTTGACTTTGACTTAACTTTGTTACTGCTGGTTGGACCAATGGAAGGTTTATCTCATTTCGCCTTACAGATGCAAGCGATTCGCACTTGTTGGTCATTGACGACGTGCCCAGCCTCCGATCGGGGCAACCTGAAGTTTCTACATGATCAGCTCTATATCGCATTAGCTGAGAATGAAACATAACAGCCGGCTCATAGTTAAGCTTTTTCATCTTAGATCTGCACGCTTCTCCGTGAAGCTTTTTCACGGTCCGGTCATTTCACAATGTTTCTGTTTCTTGACCTGTTTTTGTCGTTGTTATAAGCTTGGAAGAATACGCAACGCTGACAATGAAGTTGCCAACTTGCTCTTCATAATACATCCCCGCGTTTCGACGAGTGTGATGTTCGCTAATTTTTCGTTTTAGGCACCTGTTGTCGTTCTGTGCAATTGTGTCGCCTTTTGTCCTGCCAAATTTCTACTGAGAAAGATTTCTGTCGGCATACGCTCGTTCGACATTGCCGCATTCGACTCTTCCATCAGCCAACATCCCAGCTTGTTCCAGCAGCGATGTGGAGACGTGAAACGGTAATTTAGGGAGCTAATTATTGCATTTAAAGCGTTGTGCATCAGTTACTTTTATACGAAAATCTAGTCTGATAATTGATGTGTATGCCTGGTCTGCTCCTCTTGTCGGCACACTTTCGAGACCGTCAGCAGAAGGAGGCTGGTGTCATAGCAGGCAAACTCACTCTCACTAGAGGCCACATTCGAAGAAAAAAACGAGTTTTTTTCGTTTTAGACGTTGGTATCATAGTTTGCGCTGATTTCCGTTGCTTCAGCAGTGCACCGCTTACCTACATGCCGTTGTCACATATGACTCGACAGGCAAGCGCTTTCTGGGACTTAGTGCAGTCAGTCTCTAGCGGCTTGTCGATGCGCAATGTTAAGATTGCTATCCTTGAGCTTATAATGAATTTTGGGATGCTCAGCTATCATGATATCAGTATCGCCAGTAACTGTGCCTACTCTGCGCAACTCTGGTGTGGTGAGTGGACTGGTCGTTAGCAGGAGCCTAATTCGTTTTAGCGAATTAACATATTCCTTTTACCACGTCGAGCGTGATCAGTCGCATATAAGCACTTCGTTCATAAGGAATCGCATCACGTACTAAATCTGCGTAAGGTCGTACATAATCACAGGATTGTCGCTGATGTTGAATCAAATTTACATGTATTATATCGACGTCGTTCGATTGAGGCATGTGAGTTTATCATTGTTTATCAGCTAAAATGTGAGGAATTGAAGTGGATCTGTGAAACGGCCCCTCCTTGTCCCCACAGTGATCTAGAATGACGGAGACCAGCTAACTCGTGATCAAAAGATGATGTAGAAGTGGTTAAACTTCTTGGGTTGCTTCCTGTCGAACAGCAGAATGCCATAATTACCATCGAAAGCAATTCTGAGCTCCCATCCGACGTTGCTATCCGGTGGTTTAAAATGGTACGTCTCTCAAATAGTTAGTTGAATTTGATCAGTACAGATCAAGCAATGGCTAAGTTGTACTTTCAAATGAATAAAAGCGTTGTTCCTGGCAAAAGGGACGGGTCCACATTGCAGGCTGTTTAGGGAAGCTCTAAAGGAGTGAGACGTACGTCGAGAGGGACTGGATAAAGGAGGAAGCTGCGGTAATGTTAGTAAAAGTTGAATATAGCCGTTGATGACAATGTAGCGGGGTTCTGATTTAGCGCTTTCGAAAGACTTCGTTTGGCGGTACTGAGGCTGCAGTTGGAAGTTGGAGGATTCCGTCGCTGGCAGGACAATTCAGTGGCAGAGCTGCAACGACGTAATGATTTATTTTTGAACGTAAGCAGCGAGTCGTTTTGCTCTCATAATATTTCAGTTAGTTTCTTCTAGGGGTTGAGTGCTGCTGCTTTCGTTGGGGAGCACGTCAGGACGTTATTGGCTTTGATCTCCGAAGACGCACAGTTTATTGATAAACGCGTGTTGTTGCTCTTATTTCGAATAGTGGACCAGCTTAAGGCAAGAACAGTCCCAGTCCACTTGTACTTTGATTTCTTTGCACTTTGCTTAGGGGGTTGTCAGTTTTGTACGCCTTAAAACTGAGGATGCAATAGTAGAATCGGAAACGATCACAGCTTTTCATTGCGTTTTGCCTATCGATATTACAGTTAAGCATATATTAGACGTTCGTCTCTGATGACTGTTATATGTTAATAGTAATAGTGTACAGAGTAGCAGAAGTGTACG